GCCACTACAAATTGATCTATGAATAGCTAGAGCTGAGACATAAAGAAATTCTCTCCCAAGGACTTCAAACTCGTCAGGAAAGATCAGCGAGTGGGAGTCATAAGAAATGGGTCAGTACTCTAGAGTGGCAGTTTTCAACCAGGAGCAGTCATGTCTGTTGGGCAACTTTGGGAACTGCCTTGAAACATTAAACATTCTGCAGTGCATGGAGTCCTCCAGAGTAAAGAATGACCTAGTCTAAGCTGTCAGTAGTACTGAGTACTGAGGCTGACAAAATGCCCTAAGAGAGAGGACCCACCCGATGAGGTTCAAGGTTTGTTGCTTAGCCCTTCCTGATTCTGAGACCCACCCCAACAGCTTCAGTTATATTTCCCTTTTTACTTAAATAGACATGTTTCTGTTGTTTGTAGACAAAACAACTGTAGCTTGCAAAGTGCCCTAGCTCAATCATTTGATACACTCCTACATACTTTAAACCAGTTTTTCAACCTCTAAGCTATTGACATTTGGGCCAAATTATTTTTTATTTTAGAGGTCTGAACTGTGCATGACAGAATGTTTGGCAGCATTCCTGGCCTCTACCTACTAGGTGCCAATAGAACCACTTTCCAAGTCATAACAGAAAATCTCCAACATTGCCATATGTTCCCCTGAGGAGTAAAGTGTCAATGTTGACAACCACTGCTTCAAACAAGACAAAGACTCCACTCCATGAGGTGTAAATCAGGCAGGCAAATTCCCAGCCTCCAGAAAAACCTGTGTATAGCATACCATGTCACAAGTCTAATAGACACATGGGAATTTTTCAATTTTTCCTACTACTTCAGGCGCCAACTGCCAACTTAAAGTTATGTTCTGTGTCCCTGCACATGCACCCATGTGCATGTACACATACACACACACACACACACACACACACACACACACACACACACACACACACACACACACACTGGGGGGGGGTGGGGCAGATAAGGTCTTAAACTAAAATAAAAGATACTTCCTGTTCTTACTTCCTTTCTTATATTTGTTAGAACTTTTAAAAGAACTTTCTATTGCTATGGGGGGGAAAAAGATTCCCCTATAAAGCCTCCAACATACCCTGTGCTGTCCCTAGTCTGAAGAATCAGGTAATCTCTCTTGAAACGCTTCTCCTGTTTCACTTCTCTTAAAACTAACTCCTCCAACTTCCTCCTCCTCCCTCTCACCATACTCCTTGAAGTTGATTTCCATCAGCCAGGTATATAAACTTTTTGTTAATGCAAGAGGCACTTAGAAAATAAACATCAGGTAAGAAGCAAAGATACAGATTTATAATTAGCAAACAGTTCAGTATTTACTTAAAGTATTTGTTAATTTCCTAAGATTAACAATTCCTTTTTCATACTTTTCCAATATGTCAGCTTCTCAAGCATTGCTAGCTTTCTTGGTGTACATGGTATGTGGGGTGTGTGCCCATGCACATGTGTAAGAAAGCGCATACACAGAAATGGGCATATGGAGAACAGAGGTCAATATCAGGTATCTTCCTTAATGGCTCCCCACTTAGCTTTTTGAGATGGGGTCAAACGTGGAGCTCACTGATTCTACAAGACTGACTGGCCAGCAAGACCCAGGGATCTTCCTGTCTTCACCTCCCTCCCCCAGGGCTGCTCTTACAGGCCCAGGCTGCCTCACACAGCTTTTTGAGTGGGTACACAGAAAACATTTTACCCACTGAGCCGGCTCCCCAGCCCAAGGTCTGCCGGTTTAATCTTAAATTCTCAAGGTCCATTCAGAGTAAGTATTTCTTTTCTCAGGCCGGTTCCTAGAGAGACTTCCTCCTCACTGGAAGACTCACTATATTAGACACTATAAGGATTAGGACATTTTCCTTGTTCTTCTTTTCTAAAAAGGACAGGTAGCATGATTTTTCTTCCCCATGTATTCCAGGCCAGCCTCAAAATCACTATATAGCTGAGAATGACCTTAAATTTCTGATCCTTCCATCTCCACCGCCTGAGTGAAGGATGGGGGCTCACAATTTTAAAGTCTACAGCCTGAAAAGCCCTCTTCTGAAAAGGTACTATGAGATGTAGCCACAGGCCATACGAGATAACTATTATTAGAAAAAAGATGGTTTGCGTATTTCCAGTTAAACTGTATTTCAGACCACTGGATCAATATATAACATCTTCATGACAATGGATAATTTTTATGATTAAACTTGACCTAGATAATTTGAAAAGTTCATTCTTATAGGAACAACCATAACATATCACAACATATGCTTTTACCTATGATAAATAGCCTTTAGATTTATTACTAACTGTATTTTCTCTGACAGGATGACAACAACAGCATTAAGATTAGCATAGTGATGAAAACTAGAATTTATACTCTTCAGTCTCCAAAGGAGGCTTTAAACAGTGGAATAACTGAAAATACTAGTGTTGGGCCAGAGAGACGGCTGAGTGTGTAAAAGTGCTTATAACCAGTCAAAACTGGTGAAATGAGTTTCAGCCCTCATGTACACGTGGTGGAAGGGGAGAACCAAAGTTGTTCTCTGATCTTCATACATGTGCTGTGGTATTCACATGGACATATGCATGGACATGTAAATGTAAAAATAAATAAAAAATAATTTTTAAAAAGCAAACTGCAGGGTCTGGCAAGATGGCTCAGTAGTTTAAAAAAAGCACTGGCTGCCCTTCCAGAGGACCCAGGTTCAGTTCCTAGCACCCATATGGTGGTTAACAATCATCCTTAACTCCAGTTCCATGGGATTCAATTCTTTCTGACCTCTGTGGGCACTGCACACATGTGGTACACTTACACACATTTGGGCAAAACACATATACATATAAAATAAAAATAAATAAATTCAAAAAAATTTAGAGTAAAATGCAAATGGTTTCTCTGTGTGGGTTAAAAAAAGAAAATGCTAGTGTTTAAAAAACTTGTCTCTGATTTTTAAAAAAAAATCTGCATTACTATTTACCACACAGCTCTAAGATTATTAAGTAATCCTAAAGACTTAACTCTAAATAGGCGACTACCATCTATGCTATGAAGTAAGCCATTATACTCTTGCTCTTAGTCCTTGAGTTCTTCCCAAATAGACTTATACAAGAGAATTAAATGATAATGCCCTAAGGCACTTATCGATTGAATTACATTTTCTTCCAGGCATACAGAGTGATACCAGCTCTGTACCATTATCCTTGGGAGAGAACAGGGATCAAGTCATTTTTCTAGGGTCTGAGTTTTCTTATGGAATTAGACATAATAAAGGGTGGAGTGTATCTGATATGAGTCAGACTAAGTAATAAAAATTATTTTTAAAGATACAAAACCTTCCAAAATAAGACACTTAGGTAATGTAGTATATATATA